GAAGTTCTTGGGGGGTTTTGGTCTCCTTTTGTTTTTATTTTTACAGAATATGCTGTAGGTTTTTGTACAATAGCATGTTGTGATATGTGATGTTGTCTCGAAGTTCTTAAAAATAGAAGTGTTTAGTGGTTTTTTTTTCTGCATTCAACTGAAGGTTTTGTTTGATTGTGGGGAGGGATGTTATATGTGGAAGGAGGGTTGTTTATGCATGCCTTCTCATAAAATATATTTAATGGCTTTGAACATTTTTTTAAACTTTCTGTGATATCTGGTAGTGCAAGACATATAACTTTTTTCTATAGATTTTGAATATAATTTACTGTTCAAAATTATTTCTAGTATTTATGAGACATTAAATTCGATGGATTGGTAGTGCTTCTGTGCTAAGTGAGTTTTGTATATACATCCTCTATTATTGGTATTGAGGGAAATGCCATCAAATTATTTGGTTCAGAGTATTCAACTTCAGATTGTTTCTTTTCAGAGAGACTTTAGTTTCTTCTTGCTCAGAATTCAGTGAAATGAATGACAAACAGCATAGCCATTGAGAGAGAGAGCTACCTTTGGGGTTTTTCAGATTTAGTTGCAAAGCACCATTTAATGACTGTATTCTTTGTTTTTTTAATTAAGGAAGTCAGATCTCCAAAAATATAAACAAGTGCCATATTCTGTTCTCACACACACCTGCAAGAGGTCCTGTTGTTGTGAGTGAAAAGCTGTACTTAAATCTCCAAAGAATTATTTCATCCCAAAGACTTCAGTCTTATTATGTGGTCAGCCATTTTCAGGTGTAAATTCAACTACAGACCTCATTCATCAAAATTATCAGTAGCAAAATAATACCTATTTTCTATACTTTAAATACATGTGTATTTAAATGATACCATTGTTGAACCACAGTGCTAACTTGGTGATTGTGGTTGTGTCCATTTCCATCATCCACATGATTAGCACAGTGTGAACCACATCCTGCAGTTTTGCCTGCATGAAAACTGCAGGATCAGGCCATTGGTGTGTGTGCAGGATGTAAATCTGCCACTACTTTTGTAACCCTTTGCTGCTTTGCCTCCACTGCACTTGCTGTGCTGCTTAGATCTTACTGACATTGCCCTGCAGAGAAGGGGGATGTTAAGATTAGCCCAATGAGCTGAGCAGTAAAAGCACAGCAGTGACAGCTGGCCCCACCAGGGACACGCAGAAGCAATCAAGTGGGCTTAAACCCCTTGATTCCTGCTTGCAGAATATTTGCCATACTTTGTTCTTTTTGTAATGAACTGAAACAATGATTGCTGTGAACATTTCAGGAAAGCAGGTTAGAGAATCTTTTAGCAATACAGTTGCAGGGCCATAAGTTTCTATGGCTGATTTTTAATCCTTTTTTAAACATCATTTGTTAGAAAAAGTATATGCTTTCATCTTTTTTTTCCATTACTGACATATCAAATTTGCATTTTGTTAAGCAATACGAGGATTCTCTCCGCAACACAGAATCTGCAGTTTTGAAGAAGCAAAAGGTTTGGATAGGATCAATGAGAGAATGCCACCAAGAAAAGATGCTCTTCAACAAGATGGTATTAATACTGTAAACACAGCAAATGCCAATGGAAACAATGGAACTGGCAACAACAATGCACAGTGACCACATCAGCTTCTGGTTTACTCACTCATGTCCTGCCTGAGAATTCCTAGATTATTGCTTTTTGATGTGACAATAAATTAAATAGGGGGATCACTTGAAGTGACTACTTACACGAGGTGGAAAACCATCTGACTTGATCCCACTGAAGAGAGACCATCATGCTTTTGAGACAACAGCCCCTCTCTTACACGGTGACCCAACCTCCCGGGAGCGTGTGCCTCACCCTTTCACACAAACATCCATCACTGGCTGCTGCAGCTTGGGAAGAGATCTGGGGGAAGGATCGGACTGTTCTCACTAAAGCACACCTAGGCTAGCATCTTACGCTTACGTTGTCAACACTTTTAAGTTTACAAATGGGATTTTTCTTTCAGTAGAGGTAGTTTGTTTGTTCGTTTGTTTAAATCAGACTTTCAAATACAACCCTAAGAGCTAACTATTTATTAATGGACATTGGTTTCATGATATGTCTTTAAAATTATAGATTAGAATGGTCTTAAAATATCTGAGGCTGCAAAAACTGTATTTTAAATAACAGAAAAAAATGCCAAAACATTTCAGTTGGTCATTCTGTAAAATGCTGACCTCAGGTTTACTCCTTTAGATGTTGCTAATTCTATATTGTATTCACTGTATTTTTTAGTTACAGCTTATCAGAAGATTTCTATGTAGGAATGTTTATTACTTGAACACAAATTAAAAAAAAATATTTAATTTAGAAACTTTTTTGCCCAGCTTTTTCAAGACTTTTCCCCACCTTGAATTTAAAAAATATATATATACTAATTTTAAAAGTAAGAAAAGTATGGAAGTGTTAATTTTAAGGTACTTTTAATTGAACTTTGTACATTGTTTAAGTAAATTTTGATTCATATCAAGTCTGTAAAGCTTGGCATTGTATTTTGTGTATGCATGTTTTCATTTTGCAAATATTTAATATATAGACCTATGATGTACATCTATAGGTTACCTAGATGTTATAGGTACTTTTAGTTTATTGTGAGTATTACGGTTGCACAAATAGCTAACAATCACTGGGCTGAATAGCTGCAAGCTTTTTTATTATTTTTAAATCTGTAAAGGAAACTGAACCTGTATCGGACATACTTTTTGTTAAAGCAAAGCAGCGCGTAAGCAATTGCTATGTTCAACTGCTAAGGCATTAGTGAAAGTGTAAACTTGAGACTGCATGTATTTTGGTATCTACAGGACTGCTTGGTTAAAATAAAAATTGAAGCCCTGTGCTAATTTGTTCACAAATAATGGACTGTACTGATTGCCAGTGTACTTTGTTATATATTTTGACATTTGCTACATGTCCTTCTCATCCCCTGGAACACGACTTGAAACTTATGTCACTAGAGTTCATCTCTTTTTTTTTTTTTCTTTGCCATAAACTACAATCTGTACATACCCCTAAGTTGGAAATTTTATGCATGTTCTGAACTATTCAAGTATTTTATAAACGGTAGCACACAATAAATTTTGTGCATGGGCTGCGGCTCCTATCACTGTGTATTGGTTTTATTTGGCATACATAGGTCTAATCTGGCCTTGCAAATTTTTTAGAAATAGCCTTCAATATTTAAGCCATTCAAAAAAATAGCATAAAAGGTCAGATTTAGCTTGCAGAAAACTAGTTGAATAAAAACACTCACTATGTAATTTAAATTTTATTCCTGCTGCTATTTTTTGCTTTTGAGTTCTCGCTCAGGAATATTTTGTGTGAGGTAAACCAAACATCCATTTTTGGTTTGTACAGGCTTGTCAGAACAGGGTTAGCGGACTCTAGAAAAGACTCTTATGCATAGCTGTGTTTCATATGTTGATTTGAACTAAACATTTGACTGCTGAAGTGTGTTGGGGCTGCTTTTTAGGCAAGAGGTAAAAAATGGCTTTGGCCCTCTGTACAGACACACAAATTAGCCTTTTGGCATATTCTTTTTTAAACTAAGGACAAGCTGCTGAACAGGATGAGAATTAAGATAAGTGACACACTGTTGGTAAGGGGAGTTTTAATATTCAATTTTACTTTATTGCAGATGCATTCTAATTGGAAATTCTTCTCAGATTTGAGTCCAGAAGATCAAGTTAAAAATGGTAAGTTTTTTGGCTTTTTTACAAAGCACTCCTATCCCCACGAGCTGTACAGTCTGCATACAGTGTCATATTAGAGAAGAACAGAGACCTATTACAAAGTACAACTGAAATTTAATGATGAACATGGTGATGGTACCTTTCTCCTTGTAAGTGCTAGTGGAAAATGCCACAACCTCACAAAAAAAGTATTTGTCCTGATTTGATACTCAGATCTTGGTTGTGATGAGGATTTTGAGTAGCTGGAACTGTATATATTAAGAAAATACAGATTCGGTCTTTGTGTGGAAAGACCTCACTGTAACTGGAGAGAACAAGTTCTGATACTTGTGTGGCAGTAAGTGCCCAGCAGCAATGATGTTCCCTTCTGTGAGGATTCCCTTGCAGTATCTGTTTTGCTGCTGTAAGGACTCCCTTGCACTATCCATTGTCTGTAATAGTTTTCACCATATATGAAGGCAGACCTGCAGTAAAGGAAAATACACTGGGTTGTTGGCCTGATTTCTCATGCTGTATTTCTCCTGTCACCTTTTTGGCAAGTAGTCAGGTAACAGGGTTGTGTCTGGGGGTGTTGCTGTTTGTAAAGTGAGTGCCAGCACTCATTTTCTGTGTTTCTGTAAGGTGGTGTCTGGAGCCATCTCTAATTCTTATATTGTTTGGGAGAAGAAATTATTTCCTTATGCCCAGAAAACTGTAAGTAGTTTGCATTACTTGCTTTATGCTTTCAGCATTTTAAGGAGGGAAAGAAAGTATTTTTGCCATAAAACAGCTTAATGTTTTACAGTCACATAGAATAGAACGTAGAAGCCTATTCATCTGTTCATTTCCTTGTGCTAGTATATGAACCAGATTTAATCAATATTCTGCTTTGAATGACAAGTGAAATGGTAGGGATTTTCAGTCACATAAAAAGACACTTACGCAATAATATGCTTTAATTATTAAGTGTTAAGGTGCTTCATATGTAAGGAATTTGTTCAGGAACAAATGAGAACCAAAGCTTTTAAGAATCTTGGTCAAGCTTGGAAAGCTATTGATGGATAGCTATCTATACACACACATGTATATCTATCTCAGTGGATGCTTGCACTAAGGATGACCAAAGCAGTACAGAGTAGAATGTCTTCTAGTCTCTCCAAAACATCTTCCATCCAATTTGTATTTGAAATAATTAATCTGACCCAGCTGAACTGTATTTCTCAGTTAGTATCAGAAAAAGTTTATAGTCTAAAACCAGATTTAGGTTGCAGACTAATGATGTAAGTAAAACACATAAGCTTTTTTGTATGATACACTTGATAATCTGTTGTTGCTGTGTAAAAACCTCTATGTTCATGCTGTGCAGAGTGAAAGTTTGTCATCTTGGAACCAGCTCTACCAGCCCTAGCGACTTTTGTCTGATAATACTAGAAATAAGTTTGTGCTGTTTGTGTGAGGGTGTCCTATAATACAGTAAACAAGTTGTTACTTGTTAAAGCACTGCTGAAAGAACACACTGCTTATTACTGCTGGACTTGAAGCTTCTCTTAAATTTATGGCTGGGGACAGATTCATTGCATCCTTCTAAAACACCCATATGTGCTGTTCAAAGTTGTTCTCTTTAAATCCTTTGAAAACATTGACATAGCCGTTTATATTGTGTAGATCACAACTGCTTTGGGTTGCATTTACAGCTTAGCATTAAATAAATGCTTTTTCACTGCTTGGTCAGCTACTGTATAACCCACTCCTTTCCAAGAGAGACTTGAGAATCAGATCCACGATGATTTCTCCTTTCCATTGTTGCTTTAGTTACCATTACACCTAACCACTAATTTAAGGAATTTAATAGGTGAGTGCAGTCAGATTCTGCCAAGACCCCTAAACTGTCAGTGTATTGTGACTTAAACTGTGCACCCGCATGTTTTTCAGCATTATGATGGAAACATATTAAAAGGGGACAGGGTGTAAAATACTTGATATCACAGCCTTGGGCTTTGTCTTCTACAGTAAGTTCAGCAGTTTAGGTATTTCAGAAACTTGTTGAGTTCTGCAGATTCATTTGGCTGAAACAGTTGACTCCCACAGAGATGCATGCAGGAATCCAGTAGAGGGGAAGTGGTTTTGTCTGGGTCAAAAAGACTAAGGCTTAGGGTCTAATAGATAAGATATATCTTTTATTATACAATAAAGAATATTATGTGCTGTAAATTAAGGCATTGTAAGTGCAGAAAGCTTACTGAATCATCAAGAAGGCGTATTTGATTAGGCAACCTTTAAAATTATTCTTTTACAGGGATAGTTAGTATCTGCTTAAAGCATGTTTCATGTCCTTCAGTTTGTTTCAAAAAAAAACAAACCAAAAAACCAGATAATCCTCTTCTATTGCCCAACAATTGCCAGCAGCAACTTCCGGTAATCACCACTTGTATCACTTGCTATCATTGCAGCCAGTGTCTTCTGATACATCTGTGTGAACATCTGTTTAATTTGCACGAGGTCAATCTATGCAAAGACAAAAAAATCAGAAAACTCAACCACAGTGTATGATTTAAATCCTAGACAGTCACCCCACATCTCCTCCCTTGTGAACTAGAGAACAAATGCCAAGGGTGAGATGTGAAGTGATTAACACTGTGCAGTGGACAAGCCAGCTGGTCCCTCCAAGGGTAGAAGAGCAGCTCCCAAAGCAGAGTGCAGCAGTTGTTCCATGCTTTGTTAAGATTGTGCTGTCCTAACTGTGAACAGGTGAACTTCTCACCTGGAGGTGCTCACTTGCTACCTAGACGGGCAACAACAGTTAAAAACAGGTAGTTACTGCAATCTAGGCAGAGTTAATTAAATTACTATGTGAAAGCTGGCTTTAAAGCTAATTAACACATGCATCTAAATGTGAGCCCCATAAAAGCTTCATGAGTACATGATTTTACACCTGTGAAAGGAGGACTGAGTGACAAGCTGGTTTGGGTAGATGGTTTTCTGCTGCATGTGACTGCTACACAGGAGAGAATTTCTTACCTCACTGCGAGTGACTACAATTCTGATGAGGGTAGAATCATCTGTGCCAGCTCCTTTCATAGAATAATAAAGTCTTTCTGCAAAAAAGGCTGGGCGATTTAAAGCACATTGCACTGCAATAAAGCATATTGTTAGGATTAGTTCCAGTAATGTATCCTATGTAGTGATACTTGGCAGGATCAACTTGGCAGGATTTTTGGTGTAGACAGCTAGAGGTTGGTCTTAGTGAAGATCCAGTTACTGTGAATAACAGTGAATAACAGGACTTGCTTATAGAGCTAAACTTATTTTCAAGTTGATCGAATGAGTTATTCCCTCACACAAAAACTTACAGTTAGTAGCAGTTAACTCCTCTGGAAGTGCTTTTCAAAACTCTGAAATCTTAATTTTCAACAGGTAATTCTCCTTGGTATTGGGACACAAGGTATTTTACTCATGTTCCATTGCTAGAATCTCGCTAGGAAAAGTCCAAGTGTAGAAGGTGCTGTAGTAGTTCTGCAACTCTTGTAGTTATAGAATAGATCTTGTTTCAGGTAAATTGTTCACTCTCAGAGACAAGCCACTATTCTTCTATCTGATTCTCAGACCTGAATTTTTCCCATTAAACTTTTGAGTAGAATATACTCTGGTAAGTTTTTGCTTATCCATTATGGCTACAGAATTGCTGTCATTTGTGTAAGCACTGATATGACTGGTGTCTCCAGATTTACTACTAAATATTACTGATTTTCATCATCAGTTAATTGTGCTGAATTGTGTTGAACTGCTTTATTATAGCAAGTCAGTAGGAAAAAGTGAATTCAAAACAGCATCTTCTATTTTGCTAAGCTTGTCCTTAGCCACAGCTGAGCTTTCTGGGGTAGATGATGGTGAGGAGGGGGATGGAAAAGGAACTGTGCCTTCAGTGGGTTCATGTTGGCTCTGAGGTTATCTGTGTGGGTGGCTCAGCTGTCTCTGCTGAGGAGCTGCACACCCAGTCACAGCTCTGTGACACTGGTACACCCCTTTTGCAGAACTCTGAATTGCACAGCTACAAGCACTAACCAGTGACCCTTGGTTCTGAGCACTTGCCTGCCTTCCCAGAGAAGTGACAAGTAGTTTCTATGTGGCCTTTTCTTATTTGAAACTGACTTCTTCATGATGGTTGCTTATTTTCTTCACTTCAGTACAAGATGAATCATTTGAATAACTGAAGCTACTTCTGTTCTAGCAGAGTCTCTGATTATGTGATCAGTTGCCATATGGCCAGTGCTGAATTGGATTTTTCTTTGGTTACATTTAGGTTTAATTCCTAAAGGATAAGAGGGGAGGGAAGAACATATAACTTACCAATGGTCTTCAAACCACGTTCCACATTTCCAGAAAATTCTCGATCAATGCTGCTTAATAAATCACGATTAGCAATCTACAAATAAATGAGATTAATATGAGGATGATGAAATGCAGTAGCAACTGAACTTAATTTAAAATACATTGACCAAGCTTATTTGAAATCAGTGAACACCTCCTACCCTGGAGTATGCCTCAACTGTTGCTTTCAGCTGGGGAAAACTTCTGCTTGCCAGAACCATATTAAAGCAAGATTCATCAGTCCCAAGTTTTCCTTCACCAGCTTGGTACAGACGCTGAGCATCTTCTTGAGCTTTTTGATAATCCACAGTTTGATTCTCATCACGATTACCCTTAATGCAAAGACAACAGATTTCAAATGAAATTTCAGAGAGAAAGCTATGCTTTAACTGCTTGCATTGTACAGACACCCCAAGCATATATCTTCAAAGCTTGAAGCAGAAAGAGAGGTCATTTGAAATACATTACATTGCTTTAAAACTTCTCTTTGGTTTAATATTCTTTATAGGAAGTAAATACAAAAGTGGTTTAGAACACTATCTGTAGGACACGCTTTAAACTGCAGATACACTGACTCAGATAACTTCACCCCTACAAACCATCTCATAGTTCTAATTAAGTACTGTACTTAATTCTCTATTTTACTTAATAATGTAAGCTTTCTCTTGATTTGTTTGTTTCTAGGCTTCAAGTTGCAAAGACTCTTCCCAAACGAACTAATGAATTATCTTACTGAATATGCACACCTGAAATATCTCAGGTTTCCTTTGTATTTTATTTATAAGTTGCTTATTTCAAGTAAGAATGTCTTTAGAAACCACTTACTACACTTGTGTCAGTAGGGCTTATATTACATTTTATGTGCTTTGTTGGTTGTTTTGGCATTTTGCTGCCCAGTGCATGGATGGACACTACTAAACATACTGGCTGAGTAGGCTGAATACATTCTCTCCAATACTGTTGTATCTATAGAGGTTAATATACTATTTAAATTATGTGGTTGTCAGTTATTGTAAACTACTGGATTTATCAAAATAAAAATTAGCAGCATGAGCTCCTCCAGGTTTGCTTTCTTGTGGATTTTGACTTTTAACCAAATATCTAGAGCATAGCTGAACTCTCAGAAAGGAAGAAGCCAATAAGATAGAGAAGTGTCATAGAAGAAACAGAAATAGGCAAATTGATCAGAAAAATGTGGGAAGTTGCATTAGTTACATATTTCTTCCTAAATATGAGTAATGGCACATTACTATTCTTCAACACAAAATAAGCCCTAGTAAATGATATGGGATAAAAGAGCTCCAGTGATTATCCGAGTTCAACAGCAGCACCTCCCTACATCTGGTGACATAAAGGGAAGACAGGCACTGGAGTAACTTGAAGGGGAGGTTTTGCCCTGTGGCATGTCTTATCTTGTTTGTAGGGATTCTCACAGGCATTCTGCATACCACAGAGATTATCCAATCAGCTTCACCAGATTGCTTTGTTGATATATGCAAAAAATAAAAAGCATCTTGCTCCAACAGCAGTGTAGAGCACTGGTTTAGGGATTCACTTGGTTGCATCTGCACAATATTTCCACATAAGTTCTGATATTAATTGAGGGTGCTAAATTAGGTCACAGAATTCATACCATTATGAATTTGTAGATAAGAAGTATCTCTTGAGGAGGGACTGAAGTGTCATATCTTAGGGAATAAATTAATGACCATGGGCTAATTTCTTAAAAACCTGCCTCATGCTAAGCACGCACAGGCTATTTGTGGAGCCATTATGACTAAACATATCAGACTGTACACTGTTATCTTATATTTAAAAAAAAAATTAAAGCTCACTTGGCACATAGATATAAGTAGTCGTTCAAAGTGTCCTGAAGTGTCTGATCTGATGTCTTGTTCAATGTCCCTTCCAAATTCTGATTTATAGCAGTTCACTATTTCGCGAATCTCCTGGTTTGTCCTTGTGCAAAGGATCTCAATCAGCACACTCTCCTGAGTGCCTGCTCCCTGCAGGCAGAGAAAATAAAGGCATAAATACAGAGCACTATCTATGCAGTTTAACTTCAGCTGTGAAATAGGGCAGTCATCTGGTATTTCAAAATTTAATACAATCTAGCTTGTAAGAGCAGTATCCCTGCAGTGCGAATGCACTGAGTCTCCTGTGTACTTAAAATGGAATAAAGATTCCTCAAACATGCCATTCTGCACCAGTTCAGAGAAACACCCCAAAACATCCCTATACATCCACATCAGTGACACTGGCCAAAGTTAAAGGCAAAATGGTTTAGGAAAGGAAATTCTTTGGCAACCTTAATCTGGAAATTTATCAAAGGAAGGTAAAGCCTTATAATAATCATTAAAGTCAAATGTACACATGTAAATTCTGTTTTGGTCAGTACACAAGTGTATTCTCTATCTAAATGTAGCTGCTTCCACAATGTGGAACTTTTTATAGATGCTTCCCTCTCTCCAGAATAAAAGTTAATTGTGATTTCTGTATACAGGGGGATCTTACTGGCATGAACATCTCAGTTCAGGGAAGGATTTGTAGGAGAGGAGATGTATGTGAGACTTCCAGGTAATCTTATATTATGAATTTTTGAAAATGGTTAAGTGGCTATTCCCCATTAAAGGTAGATCTTCATTTAAGCTCCATGTTCTCTAGAAGGTGTGCATTCATACATGGGTTGAGTTACTCATTTCCACTTGCTAGCTGCTGCAGCTCAAGCAAGACATTCCAGTAAACTGGATGTACCAGTTTACCTGAGTTAAAAGTTTAAACCAACTAGCTCACCTAATCTCTAAATGGTGTCTTTATATTTCAACAGATACATCCATCATCTGACTTTAAGAAATTACTTTTTCATTATCTTTTTGGGGTAAAAAAGGGAAAATTCAAAAATATCTTTCAGTAACAAAGGTTTATTTCTAGTAAGGAAATGCATATAACTTTAGTTTAAATGGGTTATGGTTTTAACCCTGGCCCTTTCTAGGTTCTAGCAAAAATTATGCCCAGGTGGTAGAGAACAAGGTTCTGTCCTGCAGCATTTCCTCCTCTATTGAATGGACATTTGCCCTGGCTAATTGCCAAATCCTGCAGAAATTGTCTGGAACTAGGGATGCAGCAGAAAAGAATTTTAAGCCCTGCAATCCTAGGATTTGTTTGACACTATTGGATTTTTCAACAATGCTGGGACCAGGTATTCTTAGATGAGCATTTTAAGACAGTTTAAACTGTTTCCTTTGCAGGAATACCATACCTTCATTGCATGACGTAAACTCCAGGCATCATAGTAGGTACTAGGCATGAAGAGGGCTAGAATCAATTCTTCCACATTACCACTTAACTCAGACTTCAGATCTTTAATTAAATCCTGTTCAATTATAAACATAGAAAGGGCTTTGCAGAGTGTCAGGATTATATAGATTATATACTGAAGAAAGATCAAACTAGAACTTACTTCTATTATTTATTTCTACCTTTGTACCTTTGTGCTGTTTTTCCTGTAAAGCTTTGTTTTATTTCTTATTAAGAACTTCCCTCTGTCCAAATCTCTGACAACTCAGCTCTTCTCCATTATCTCCTCATTAATGCCACAACTACAAAATTTCACTTTAGGTTGCAACAATCACAGGGAAGAAATTAAATTAACCTGGAATTTTATTTACTATCCAATCCTCAATCATTTCTCAGTTTGTTTCTTGGGAAAAAGAAGATTTCGGTGCTGGTTTGTGTGCAAAAAAAATCTGTAGTGTCAGACACTAATACAAGGGCAGTTTAAGCTTGATTATTTTCTGTCAAGCATTAGAGAAGCTTCTTGTGTGGTCAGGGACAGAGACAGCCTCCAGCCTTCCCCCAGCCCTCCTTCTGCCAGGTATCAGGACAACCCTATATCAAATACCAGACATCTCCCAATACATAGGGATTATAACCAAAAGAAGTGCATTTAAAAATGCTCAAATCATTCCCCAGGACTAAAATGCAACCAGGCAGTTAAAGCAGCAGCTGAAAGTTTGGGTTTGTTTCCCGATTCAAAGAACTAGTGAACATACCTTGCCATACATAGTCTTGAAAGCTGCCTTGATTTTTTGCCTTTGATCATTGGAGCGGTTAGCAACAACATTTATGATGGCCTGCTCATCAGTTCCTTGGAAACAGAAGGGCAGTGTCATGTAAGAATGCAATATAGTCCCTCCAAAACTGTGCATTTTATACTGTTGCATTTGGGCATAATTACATAAGAGGCTGCTATTTAAGTCCACCAAATTTTCTGTGTAACTTCATCTACTAAATAACCCCAGCCATTTTGAAAAGGTAATTTTTGAAAAGCTTCTGGGAGGGAAGTATAGTTAAATAAGCACTGAAGAAAACAACAAAATGGCATTAAGAAGTTAGATCAATAAGAACTAAAGCTTCTATTTCTTACTTACCAAAACCCTTCATAGCTTTGCGTAGGATTTCTGCATCCCTTCCAGCATCGAAGTTTGGAGCAGCTTGAATTGTACCCTGGGTACACTGAACCACTGCAGCAGGCTGAAAATAAGAGTCACATGTAATTAGATATCTACACAATAAAAATTCAAATTAAAATCACAACTCTGCAATCAGTACTTGAGAAGGAGTTCTCCATTAGTTCTCTGTTTTTTCCTCTAACACAGAATCAGGGCAACGTTTTTCTGAGGGTTGATGGAAACTCCTGATGCAGAACAAAACCAAAACCTTTGGAAATCAGCTGAAAAACATTAAAACTACAGAAGCCAGATAAGATTAATTATAGAAAAGAAAAGAGCACATACCGGACCAGGCATTGGGGAGGGTACTTGTCCACCAGGAAATCCTAGAGAAAATAAAGAACAAGGAAGGAGAAATTAATTAGGTCTCCTCTTATTATGGAAATGCCATCTAATCTGAATATAAAGTCAAACCTACCACTGCACACAACCTCTTTCCTAATGATACCTACCACAATCTGTAACTGAATTTCTTCCCTTGCAGATAGTGGGAAGAAGCCATCACAGATGCATTTTGGTACATACACTAGCAAGGCAATTCTAAAAATACTAAACTTACTGGTGCTGTGGGAACTGGAAGGATCTCTCCTTATGAAATTCTGCTATTTTTGACTGAAGCCAAGATGGCTCAAACAAAGAATGTGTGTTCCATGATCTCTTTAAAAGATGTTATGTACATTTTAAAATGCCTAGCACGTAAAGAATAAATATTCAGAATTCATTGCTGCAAAAAGGACTGAAGTAATCTCATTTTGTGATCAAAAGCACTAGTAATACAAAAGCTAAAACTAATATTTTGTACTAGAATTTTATTTTTATTCATAATATGTATGCACATTCCTTATCAGTTTAATAGCAACTTAGTACTAGAGTTAACAGAGCAACCATAAAACAAAAAGGTTTTGCTGCTTTGAACTTCTTTAAAACACAAGAGATACATTCCAGAACATCATCTCTAAAGTAACCAAAAGTCATCTCTATAGTCTCTATATATCTCTGTGTATGATTTTCTAAAAGAAAATCATCTCTATAGCAACTGACCACTCAAAGCATTAAAAACACTGCACTGACTTTAAGCAAATGTGTGCATTCTCCTTTCCTCTTTCTCCAGTGTGTCAGGAATCACTGTGAACACACAGATCTGGAAAATGCAATTGAGATTAACTGCTAGATACTCACTGAATGTGGACTCTGGGTTTCACAATTCTCATCAGATACTTGCAGTTTGAAAAAGGACCTAAACCACTACATCATGACAGTATTCAGGGACAGCCATCCCCTTTGGATGTAGCATCTACAGACATGGTTCTTATCAGCCCTTCTGTGGCCTGGTCAGGAAAGGTGGCAGGAGGTGCACAGCATAGGAACCTCAACAGCTACAAGTAACAAAGGTAAGGGCTTAATTTGTTACTACCTATCCTGGAGTTTCTTGGTTTAACCATGGATGCTTGGAGTTTCCTATAGATGACATACCTGGAATTTGCGCTGGTCCACCTCCAGCATAGCTTTGGGCAGGAGGCTGCTGTGGATAGCCACCAAAGCCAGGCCCTGTGGGAGGCACAGCAAAGCCAGGGCCTGGAGGAGCCAGGGGAAAAAAAAAGACTTTAGCACACTTAGTATTTTGTACTTGACTTCTTGACACAACAGGAGCCAGCTTGTTAAACAAAACTATGTAAGAGACCGGTTTCTCCGTGGCTGTGCAGTGACCCAGAACCAGCAAGGCTCTGCCAGCAGCACTCAGGTATTTACTGCTGGATGGCAACCTGGCTGCCTGCGTGCTGCTGCCTGCACCCATCACTGAACAAAACTGCCTTTCTTTGCTGTTCCTGACAAGCACAGGGAATGGTTACACTGGAGATCACTCCTGACTGGTACTCTAACAAAGGATCTTACCTCCAGGGTAAGGTGGCATTCCTCCAGCCTGGGGAGCTCCAGGGTAGCCCCCCGAAGCGGGGTAGCCCCCTGGGGCAGGATACCCTGCTGCCCCTGGAAACCCAGCATTTGGTGGTGCTGCAGGATAGGTCCCTCCTCCTGATGGAGGGAATCCTCCAGGAACAGCAGGATAGGCATACTGACCAGCTGGTGGATAGACAGACTCCTGTCCTGTTGGCTGAAACACAAAAATGGGATGTCTGTATGCCTGTTAACAGCACATTAGAGTAAAAACTCCCAAGCTGCCAAAATGTCCACATGTATAATAACAATGTGAATTATACAGTTAGTTGTAGGGCTCAGAGCAGCAGAAGAATTCCTGAAGCCTGGGTGGAGTCCTCCTGGTTGGGTGTTCTGATGCATCTCCTATGTTGACACAGAATCAGAGACTGATGCAGGGTGGAAGTCACCTCTGGATGACCTGTGATCCCATCCACCCTCAAAGCACGGCCAGCTTTGGAGTTGGGTGAGCTCATGCAAGGCCTGATAGTCAAGTTTTCAGGATATACAAGGAATGACAAATTCACAGCCTCTCTGGGCCCCTGTTCCAGTTTTTGACCACTCTCCTAGAGAAAAATGTTTTCCTCAGACCAAATTGCAATTGCAAGCTGTATTTGCTAACTGCCCTTTCACTGTGTACATCTGACAAGAGTTGGCTCCAGTGTCTCTATTGCTCCTCCTCAGCCAGCAGAAAACTGAACAGATCTGTGCTTAGCCTGCTCTGCTCCAGGTAAGCAGCCTTCCCTGCACATGCTCCTCTTGGTCCATGCCTTTGTTGTACTGGGAGGCCACAAGCAGACACAGCACTGCAGAGATGCTCTTGCTGAAGCCTGCTGTCCATTAGCCTTTCTCCCTGAGGACTCAGTGCTGAGCCACACTCGTCTTGTCAGCCACTGTGACTCCTGGTCCTTTACTGGAAAGCTTCTCTTTCTATCCCACACAAGGAGGAGGTGAGCTCAGCTCAGTTTGCTCTCTTTGAAGCATTAGGAGCTCACCCCCTGTTAAAAGACTTTTAAGATCATAGTAGCTTTGAAACTTCTGCCTCTCTTGCCCAAACAGTATTTTCAAATGTTACAGGGTAAGAACTTTTTTGGGGTTTTTTTCCCCATTTCCTTTGGAATCCAGGTTATAAAGCATGGACATTCAATTATTAAATCTGGATCACTGAGTCAGACTGAACAGCTGTTACAGGTTTTAAATAAAAAGAACAAGTCTAACAGATATATATTTGTTTTGCTACATGTATGATTCACCAGCCACACCACAAAGGGTGCTATTAGCATTAAGATATATTAGAAATATTTGCTTGGATAATCTAGATCTCTAAGGGAAAGCCCTGTAAAGTAAAAATCATTATACATGACCTTAGAAATCAGGCATTCAAAATCAGCTTCATAATGAAGCATAATGGATGGGACCCATTACTCACTTGCTGGGAATCATCTTTACTGCTTTAGAAATAGAGTCACACATTACATATAGTACACATTCATTCTTGACCCAGAAAACAAATAAAGTGCAGAGCAGAAAAGCCTAAATCAAATGTTCTTGGGTTTGGCTGCCCCAAGATTTCTACTCCCAAATTCCTGTGCCCGGGCTATATAATATTCTTTTCCCTAGAGGTACAGTCTAACATTTCTCTGCCTGACTCAACAAAAAGATTTTATTAGAATTTAGATTCATAAATCCAAAATTAGGATCCTCAAAAGCCCTGCTCAGATTACTACTGGTGCTGCAGAAAAAAACAATTTCACATATGCTTTTTAAATTTAAATTTAAATCACGTTGGCCATCATCAATGAGACTAGGAAATCATTGATAACAAGTCTAAAAGGTCTTATAAATTAATTCATTGAAGCTGGCTATTTTTTTAGATGTTAGCTAAGAAAAAATATATTTTCAGATGTAGTTAAAAGTAAACTACAGCTACAATCACAAGGGTTCAGCAGAACCTTAAGGGAAGAAAAAAATCCTGGAGTTAATAGTCTTGTTTCTAACATGTTTGTCTTTCATTTGACTGACTTTAGTGTTTCAGAAGTAGTGAGGATAGATTGTAAAGCAAAATCATCAGAGAATTTATTGCTTGTATTTATATGTATATGTTTATATTTTACACGTATTTATAGCTTTTCAGTATCTTAAAGGCATTCAGGCTGATCCGTGCTTAAGTCTGGTTCTGTACTACATAGAACACAGGTAAAATTCCCACAGTTACAGCATGGCAAGTGCCATCATCAGTGCCATAAAAGCACAGAGATTATTCTAGCTTTGAAAAATTTTGCAGGCATATCAGAAAGACTGCAGTATCAGCCATACCTGATACAATTCAGCCTTCCATTAAGTTTCCTTCAAATTTTTAGTCCATTCAGTTGTGAGATGAAGGTGAAACAGTCCTGTGGATAAGGTAGTCAAAATAGAGTGTCCTCTATCCTCAGAAAAATATTTACTTGGTGTTATATGAAAGCTGGGCTGCTTGAGTGAAGTGTTCCAAGCTCTTCCTGATGGCTGTGACCACTGAAGCTTGCTGAACATCTCTGTAAATCCTGGGATATGGCTATGTGAATATTTTGTACAGACTGGTTCAGAGATTACTTCTAACCCTACATGTGAAGGGCCTCCTATTTACAGAAGAAACTTTAAAAAATAAAAAGGATTGTTGAGATGAGACAGCCATATTTAAAACACCAAGCTCACAAGATAAAATAAAACAAGACCAAAGACTTTTCTGGAACAATGGGCGTCACTAAAAAAACTAAGCTTCCTTCTTGGAATTCTTGTGTGACAGCTGTAAACTCATTCCCAGAGATATACAGAGGAAAACAAAGACCATAGACTAGAGAACAGGGTACCTGAACTGACTACTACTATTTACTGCCAGCTACTATTTACAGACACATGGACCACAGTCAGAAGGGGTATTCACAGAACACAAGTGCATTAGGAATGCAACACATTCAAGAGCCATACTTACAGGATAACCTGGGAAAGCAGGGTAGCCATCAGAAGGGGGATAACCTGGGTATGACATTCTGGGGAGGAAAAATAAAAAAGATATTTTCACTGTGAGGCACTATCTTTGAGTTTGTAGTAGGCATTTGCTTGCTAATTATCTGTTAAATCACTTGAATAATCTGCTATTAACCCACAGAACTTTCCTTTTTTTTCTCTTCTACATCTGACCATAACAATCAGAATTCAGAAGGGAAGCATCTTCAACTCATAGTAATTAACTATCACTCTTATTTAGGGTCAGACAGACATTTAAGCATGGTAAGAGGCTCAAACTTCCAGAAAGCTCTAAAATACAGAATACACTTTGAAGTGCCAGCAGGAGGGAGCTTGAACCCTTTGCCAGGACAGAAACTATGCAGGTTTCTGGACTGCACCAAGCACCTGTATCCATCATCCTGCACTGCGCCACTCACAGGGGTAGTTCCTGGGAGAAGAGCAGTACCCTAGCTATACCATGTAAAATGGTAATTTGATAAGAAGAGGTATTTATTCATTTGTGGAGCAAATTTCTATTTCCTGACAGTAACTGGTTTTTTTAGTCACATTTTTAACAGAGGGACTTGGGGGAATAGGGGTAGAGATCATCCCATCCTGCATGGTGCCAGCCAGTTGGGCAGGGATATTTGAGACCATTAGCCAGGTTATGAAACTTTTAATGACGGGGGGAAAAAATGGACTTGAAATTTGGCACAAGCATCCTCAAGTTGAACAGTGACTCTGTCATAACTATTTTTATAACCAAAACAACGACAGATTTTTTTCCGTCAGACGGTCGTTTCCCCCCGCTGTCCGCGGATGGGCACGGGGCGGGTTGAGCCGGGGGCCGGGGTGAGTCAGCTGCGGCACTGGCCCGCGGTGAAACATCAGCGGGCGCTCCGTGCGTAGGGCGGGAGCTCGGCCGGTAAACACCGAGAAGTCTCCCCGTGGCGGCTGCTCCGCCGGGACCGCCCGGCCCCGCAGCCCCGCCGGCACCGCGCCCGCCCCCGCGGCCTTTAAGGGCTCCGCCTGCGGCTGCCCCGCTCTGCTCAGGGCAGTCACGCATCGCCCCAGGCTCCTCCCGCTCCCACAGCCGCCAGCCGCGGGCCGGCCCGGCGAACCCTCCGGCGAGGTGGAGCTGCGGGCGGAGGCAAGTGTCCCGGTGTCCCGGTACCCACTTCTCCCGAGGCCACCTGAGCTCGTCGTCCCCTCTCCGCAGCGCCAGGGCAGCTCCCGCCGGGGGTGCGGCTCCCGGGCGCAGGCGGCGCCTCCCTCGGCCAGACACCTGCCGAGCCCCGAACCGCGGGCGGCCGCGGCTCCGGGAGCGCTGCCCGGAGTTCCATCCACACCCCGGGGCTGCGGCCGAGCCCCCGAGCGATGTCTGAGCAGAGCCGGGGCTGCGGCCGAGCCCCCGGGCGGTGCGAGCGGAGCCGGCGGGGCTGGGGCGAGGGGCTCCACCCTCCCCCCCAGCCGCCTCACCTGAGGGGAACTTGCGGAGCCTCCAGCCTCTCTCCGCAGCCACACCGCAAAATGGAGCCCGTGCGGCCGGCGATGCCCGCCCCGCCCCCGGCACCGAGCCCGCCCCGCCCGGCCCACGGGCCGCGCTCCCCGCGGGCAGGGGCACCGCGCCCGGTGCCGGTAGCGACGGCCCTGCCAGCACAGAACCCTTTGCTGTCCGTGCAGGCTCGGCTGTCTCGCTGAAGGGAGCTGTGCCATGCCCGGCTGTCTCTCGGACGGACGAGAGGTAAGCTCACAGGCGCAAGTGCCACGAACGCAGAGCCGCTCGCCAGTGGAGCTGTGACAGGGAAGCGTTCCCGCAGGAAACGCCCGGAGGTGCTGTCCCACGGCAGCCCTTTGCCACCCGGTAGGAAAGGGAGGGAAAAGTCCATACTGCAGTTTCCCTGCAGCACCACTGCAATGGAGTTCAGCCCTAATACGTATAGTTTTAAGCCAAGTCTGTAATCCAATAACACATGCGTCTTTAAATCAGGATCATTGTTCAGTAGTTGCAGGGAGTCCGTCAAGTCACCCAGGCCGCCAGAACTGCATGTAACAGGCAAAGAATATAAAAGACCTAAGTGCATGGAGCTAGAGGAGCTGCTCCTTTTGCTGTAGTTGCTGAAGACCAGGATCTAAGTCCCAAGAGGACATAAAGGTAAGATTGGCTGACTACTACATACACTTTTCTAGAAAGAAATGTTAATTATAGTTATTTGAATGTAATTATGGGGAGTGTGCCTACTGTTTTGTTTCTGTCTGTTGTAATGTTTATTAATATTATACTTTGAATAGACATTATACACACGTACTTTATCTGATGGTTAATTATTCATAAGACATTCTGATGAACAATATTCAATTTATGAAGGATTCACCTATAATATTATGCACCAGTTACTTGAGGTTATTCAAAATATCCCCCTTTTTTTTTTGTTTATGACAAACATGTTAGCAGTTTAGAGACCATTCCAATGCAAACAGTTTTGGTTCCTTCCTGTAACCTGGTGCAGCACTTAAGCTCTAGATGAAATAACAACCACTGTTCTCTTTGTCCATAAAACAGCATGAAGTGCAGACAGCAGAAAATAGCTGGGTAATAATTTACCATGCTTGCTCACTTCAAATGAAGAACACTTAAAGCCCCATGAATCTAATACATTACCTATCCAGGAAAATTTGGCTTGTTCTCTCTTGTTTACCCAGAACACATCAGGAGTGGCTTTAAGAATTTAATCCTCACAGCATTCTTCAGCTGACACTCCGAGTGCATGTCTACTTTATTTCACCTGTTAAGCACATTTCTTTCAGGACAGGTATATATTTTAATCCTTGTTTCCATGGGAACCAAGTACATTTATAAAATACACACTTTTTATCTTTTTCATTTAGTGGACTGTTTTGAATTAAGCTACTCAAGAAAAGAAAGATTTGTTTTAAAATAAATTCCTTTCTTTTTGTGTGAAAGGAAGAAGAAAATATTTTTAACAAAATTATATGTGTTTGAAGAATCTGTTAAATGCATTGAATGTTTATGTATCAAGGAGAATGTTTGGAATTACGTTTTTAAAGCATGCAATGGAACCATTGTGGTCATCTAATTTCACTCTGTATTTAGGGAAATCCCTTGGCTTGTTACTACACCTAGAGCCCACACATTTAGGAAAGCTTCTAAATGCCATGCAGAGTCAAGGCAGCTTCTCACTATTAGAAAATTCAAGTTTAGTGGAGAGACAAACTTTTGTTCATCTCTTTTGTAATATTCTTGCATCTCATCCTAGGACATGGTACTGGACAGGATTCTGGTCTGGAGTGACTTGGCTCAACTACGTAGTTGTCCTGAGTGCTGTCAAAAGAACTGAAACAAAACTTTTTTTCCAGAGGAATTTATTTTTGGTGATGTAGGCAGCTAAAGCATTACTGCTTCTCTATGTGTCCTGGTTGGAATATTGTTTCCCACTGAAGTAATAGAAAGTATAACTTTCAGTGTTCTACTCCAGCCAATGTAATTAAATTAAAAACAAAGACTTCCCCCACATTTGTTGTAAGAACTGGTCAGCTTTGAACCATAGGTCAAAGTGTAACAAAGGCACAGGATGCTGCAGTGGCCCAAGTCTACATTATGTACTAAACCCACTTCTGTTAGGCTGCCTTGTGACTGCAGTCCCAGTAGCTGTTGAGGGAAGCTTCCCTGTGCAGGGAGCAGAGCGAGTTCAGCCCCGTCAGGAGGCAGGAGGAGCCCTGGGTTTGGTCAGCTGCTCCAGGGAGTCGCTCCCGGTGACTCATGGCACGCTCCACCCGCCCTGCTCCGAGCATCGCGGTTTTACACAACCCCTACACAGCTGCCAACCAGTCTCTGGTTCTGCTGGGAGGAACTTGAAGCTTCACCCTTCCTCAAAGCACAGGAGAACAGCAGCTTGTTCTGCTTAACTGTTCTGGAAGGGTTGTGTGTCTAACGTTTTCACATCAATTTTTAATCATTAGGATTGAACCTCTGAATTTCAGGTTGAGGTGGCGTTATGTCCACAGGTTCGCAAAGTTGCTCACCAAAACACTGCCTCCTCTTTGCAGCAGGTTTAAGTTTTCTTAAAACTTAAGAAACTGAAGTGATTCAACTGAAAACACAAATTTAGTGACCTTCATCCCAGTACATGGAAATAATCACCAAATGAAGTTGCTAATCTGGCAGCAAGGATTTAAGTTTCAAGTTGCAGATAACAATAAGGTTTGTTATTCCCAACAATATAGAATTTTTTTTCTGCTGAGTCTCATCAGTTAAAAAATAGTGGACCATTACCACCTCCTCCTGAATTTTTATGAAGGCATTCCCTAAATATAAATTATAAATAAGATAGTTTATCCTGAAAGTATTAATTTTTAAAAGAAACATAGCAGTCTTACTGTGCTGGGAAGATGTCAGAGCGAAGCATGTCTGTGTCCCTTATCACATATCTTCATTATTAGTCTTCAGTATTTGCAAGGACTGGCAAATTCCACAATGATCACAAATTGTTCTTGGAAGTTTGCATTTTGTGCACACCAGCTTATAAAACAACATTGATTTTTAACACTCTGAAAGCTGAATAGCTTTCTTTTTATGTTTTCTCCATTTTCCTAACAGGGAATGACAAAGAGCTTCCTGCAGAGGAGAGGTCAGGGAAATAATATTTTGCGTCCCCCCCCCTCCACACTTCTTTGCAATAATTGAGAGACTTGTCCACCTTTGCTGCTTCCTCTTTTCTGCCACTTGATGCCACGTCAAAACTTTCTTCAAAAAACACTGTGATATGAAAATTTTGAAACATTAAATGGCTAAATTTAAGAATATTAAGTCTAAAAAAGAGAAAGGAAAGCAAAACATTTTTATTCAGACTAATAAAAAACTGAGTTGAGTTCTAACACTTATTTAATGCTCACAAATAACATTTTCAATTAGGATCTTTGCTGGACCTTCACTTTTCATTTACATTGACCTTGCAATTAGAACTTGGAATTTAGCATTGAGTCACTGGGGGAACTCTCTAAATTGTACCAACCAATATGGGATCTATAGATTTGTAATCTGAGTCTTATTCTTGGATTTAGCTGGCAAATCACCAGTTCTGGAGAACACTCTCTTTGCATACTTCAATTTCAAATTCATTCACCAAACTAGATACAGTCCCTAGTAAGGTGGGAACAATTTTGTGGTAGAAGAGAGATGCTTTAACTCTGTTAAAGCAGAGTACCCCCTCAGCACAGCTGAACTGTAAGACAGCTTCTAAAGGTAATGCTATTGGCAGAGCCTGTGCAAAGTTACAGCTGATATTTGTATTGGCTTTCTTCCAGCTGGAACTTACTTAACATGAAACTTTTCTTGGGGAGAAAATGGGGTTTCTCTTCACATTTTAGCAGCAGTACAGCATTATGAAACAGAAAATTCCTATTTGGCAACGCCCAACTTTTAACCTCAAATCTCATGGATTGTCATTTTGCTGTCCTTTTCTTCTTTGGCAAAGATGGAAGCTCCAGTAGCCAAGCTTGTTTAGCCACAAATGCTTTTCAAACTCTTATACCATGAACTCAGTTGCTGGCTTTAATTCCCTGAACTCCCCCTTTACAAGGGGCTAATGCTATTGACCTTTACCTCCTTTCCCAAATAATCAGAAAATAATTATATGCATAGAAGTGATACCATAAACTGAATTTACTGTCTCGTAGTCTGTCAGTACCTTGCTGAAGGGATATACACAGCACCACTGACAAACCAGAGACTATTCTGCAGTCCTTCATGGTAAAGCATATTATATGCAACACAAACCTCCACACTTTCAGTGTGCTTTAGCAGTTGGAAGAAAACCTGCAAAGAACTGGACTTCATTCCCATCCACTCTTTCTTTCCTGATGCCACCTTACCCCGCCACCCTCTTTCAAGAATGGATTCATTACACAATAAATGAGAAAGTTTTTTTTCTGGACAGAAGCCATTGTTGCCACTGCAATGGAACTTTTATTCCAAATACATTCTTGCAATAAAGCTGTATTTTGTTATACAAGTAGACAAATCCACAAGACATACGATTCTCTTATTCCATTTTAAAATACCAGTCTCAACTGAACTGCAGCTGCTCCCATTCATTTCCTAAAACATGTAAGGGGCTTTTCAGAGCAATGGAAATAACGATGTAAACCAAGTCATGTAGTCATTAAATTACAGTCCAAGGAAATTTCTAACACCACAGAAAAGTGTATCTGCTCATTCTTCAGGCTCCTTAAAGTGTAAGGTCGCAAAAGTTTCTTTACAAACTCAGAAGTTTTTCATTGAGAGCAATCTGTGACTGTGTGAGATTTGCCAAGTAGGTTACCATCAGTAGGTCCTGAAAGGGAAGGAAAAAAAACCCAGTGATCAGAAATATTAACAAATTATAGCTTATTAGCTGATTTTTTAACATCTGTAAAGCATTTTAAAATCAGCTACAAAAAATATTGTTAGTCCTGAAAGTCCTACCCTGAAGAATGCTTCCCTTGCAGGAAGCTTTTGGTATTACTGGCATATGAAACACTGCTTGTGAAATTTTAACTC